CAGCAGGAACAGTGACTCAAACTACCGCTTCCTTTCCAAGTGATCACTTATGCAGGACTTCATGAAATCTAGGCTTGCTTTATTGCCTGTCTGCAGATAACTATTCCCATACTTTCAGCCTGGACACCATTTATTAGCACTGTGTGTACCTCAGCTTCCTCCAGAGCAGCCTGGATTTCAGATTTCTCCTGCTCAATCTGCTTCTTGACTTTCTCCAGCTCGTGAATCGCCTTTCCTCCCTCGGCAATCTGCTCCGTGAGGTCGGAAATCTCCTCTGTGGGAACAAAGGTCAATGGCATGGTCAGGCACAGAGCCGAATGGGAAGGGCCCTGCCACACCAAGGTGGCAGGCACCTTTGCAGACCTGCAGGCACAGACCCATGTGGAGCGGTGGGTAGTGGTGGATAGTGAGAAAGCCCTGCCAGGAGCAGAGGGCCAGGGACTTACGCTGCAGGTTCTTGTTCTCACGCTTCAGCGTTTCCAGGTGGTCCAAGGACTCCTCATAGGCATTCTTCATCTTAAACAGCTCCGTGCTGAGGGAGCGAGACTCCTTCTGGGAGGCTTCCAGCTCAGCCTGCGTTTCCTCATACTTCTGCTTCCATTCGGCCAGGATCTGAAGAGAAAGCGGGTGTGAATATGGATATGGCTATCAGGAGGGAATGCTCTGCTCGGGAACCCCAGGCCTGGAGCCCAAAAGACCTTGTCAAAGTTCTTCTGCTTCTTATCCAGAGCTGCGCAGGCAGCATTTGATCGCTCCACGTCAATCATCAGGTCCTCCACTTCATTCTGCAGCCTCTGCTTTGTCTTTTCCAGGGAGGCACATTTGGCATTCACAGCTTCAACGTGTTCCTCTGCATCCTGCAGGCGCTGTGCCAGCTTCTTCCTGGAAGATGTAAGCACAGCTCACAGTTAGCACAGAGGAACCAGTGTACTTTCTACAAGAGCATGCTTAATCATTTGGCAGTCTGCAGTCACACAGAGTGAAGGTCTTCATTTATGCTGTTTTTAGCCTTTGCCTTTACTAAACCACTAAACATTCTATAGGATAAAGATACCCAGTTTCTGTTATCCTTTCCCAAGGCAAGTCCATGACCTATTCCTCAGAATATCTAGGTGTATGTCTCTTCCAATGTTGCCTTTGAATTTTCAGTCCCCTCTGGCTTCTTCACATCCTACCACCACATACTTGGCCTCCTCCAGCTCCTCCGTGCGCTGAATAGCGTCCGTCTCGTATTTGGTTCTCCACTGGGCCACTTCGCTGTTGGCCTTGGACAGGGCGCGCTGCAGCTCCCCCTTGGCTTCCTGCTCCTCCTCATATTGTTCCCGGAGCAAGTCACAGTCGTGGCGAGCAGACTGCAAGGCGTGGGCCAGGGCATTCTTGGCCTGGGGAGTCAATGGGATTGGGACAATGAATTGCCTGTGAGACAATAGAATGTTAACTTAGGGAAAGTTGTTGAAAACTCTTTGAATCTGACATTTAAACTGCAACCCAAGGAAAAAAGGTACATTGATTCCATGTTCTGAGCAGCTTCTTATCGCTTCATTCATCAGAATCTAGAATGTTACCTCAAGAGTGATGATGGCTAAATTCTAAATGACATCTATAAAGCTGGAAAATGTTGAATCCTTTTAAATATGTTCTAAAGTTTCAGCTTCCATTATGGAAAAGTAGAATAAGAAATGCATTATTTCAGATATGTCTCCACCTTTTTTTATATGCCATCATTAATCCAAATAAAGACTAAATTTAGAATCATAGAATCATAGAATCATAGAATCATTAAGGTTGGAAAAGACCTCTAAGATCATCGAGTCCAACCGTCGACCCAACACCACCATGCCCACTAAACCATGTCCCTCAGCACCTCATCTACCCGTCTTTTAAATACTTCCAGGGATGGTGACTCAACCACTCCCTTGGGCAGCCTGTTCCAATGTTGGAAAGTTGTCCTTCCCTGTCTCAGTACACAGGTTTGGAGGCGATGCCCTCCACAACTTTTATTCCCAAACAAGAGAGGGAGGTGGCAAAATTGTCCATCTAGTTTGAGAGCTCGCAAATTAAATTGACATGGCTAACATATTCTGATTTTATGTGAGGGTAGGAAATAACCTGAAAGAAAATGGAATCTGAATCCAAAGTCAAACCCACTACAGGAAGTACCTTTACCTTTATTTCTTCCTCTAAATGTCTCTTTAGTTCCTCAATCTGTTGAGTAAATGCCTGTTTGCCTCTGGATAGCTGAGATATCAAAGCATCTTTTTCTTCCACCTGGCGTGAATATTCACCTGAGAAATTTTACAGATAGACTGTAATTTAAAAAGCAATATTAAACCAATGTGTCTTTAAAGCACTGTATATCAGCTTACAGAGTATAGACCAATTTGAGTAAAACATCACTCTTTCTTGTCATCATTGGTTACAGATTCTCCCATTCCAGATGGGTAAGGGGGTGTTTTACCTGCTTCTGTCTGCAGACGAGCTCTTTGAGTATTGAGGTCATTGATCATGCGCTGATGCTCCTCTTCTTTTGCCTTAATCTCACTTAGCTGGTCTTCCAGAGTGCGACACATTTTCTCCAGGTTTGCCTATATGTCAAATACATGTAAGGAAAGAGGACTATCACTAAATTCTAGCATGTTGCTCTCATGATGAAAAACAATGCAACTGTGTGTGATAGCAAAATGTAATCAGAAGGTTCAAAATCATGCATCAGGTCATGTATCATAGAGCAGTAACCTGACAGAAACTCTGTACCTTGGCTTTGGAGACAGACTCCATGTTACTGGCCAAGTCGTCAATCTCCATCTTCAGCTCACTCTTCTCCTTCTCCAGCTTCTGCTTCACTCGTTGCAGGTTGTCGATCTGCTCCCCAAGCTCAGCTGTGCTGTCCGCGTGTTTCTTCCGCAGGGCGGCAGCCGTGGCTTCGTGCTGCAGCGTGGCCTCTTCGAGGTCGCGACGCATCTTCTGAAATTCTGCCTCACGCTTCTTGTTCATCTCGATCTGAGCTGCGGTAGCCCCTCCTGCTTCCTCCAGGCGCTCGCTGATCTCCTCTAGCTCCCTGGAGAGGTCAGCCCGATGCTTCTCTGCTTTTGCCCGAGAGGTTCTCTCTGCCTCAATTTCCTCCTCCAGTTCCTCAATACGGGCCTGGGGAACATTACGGACCCTTCACACCCGGGCCCGCTTCTTACCTGACCTGAGGCTGGGTGAAAGAGGAAAAGGGACAGAGACTTGCCTGCAGCTCCTTGATCTTCTTCTGTAACTGCATGCCCAGGGCTTGCTCATCCTCGATTTTGCTCTGGATCTGGCTGATTTCAAAGCCTTTGCTTTGGGCAAAGCAAACCGTGTTAGAGCTCAAGGAAAAAAGACAAGTGCCCCAGCCCAGCACTCAGGTGCCCCACAGCCACGCTTACTTCTTCAGTTTCTCATCCAGCTGCTGCTTATCATTTTCCAAATCCATTATGGATTCCTGGTGCATCTTCATGTCTCCTTCGAGTTTCCTCTTAGCTCTCTCAAGGTCCATGCGCAGTTTCTTCTCTTGCTCCAGGGACCCTTCCAGCTAAAAAGAACAAGACCATCAGTGCTCTGCCAGCCAGGCTTAACTCCATACCTGTCCTGTTCTTGCCGTGTGCCTGTGTGCTTACATCGTCCACTTGCTGCTCCAGCTTGGTCTTAGCTTTGGTCAGAGTATTGACTTTGTCCTCTTCTGCCTGCAGGTCATCCAGTGTCTGCTGATGGGCCTCTTGGAGGGCTTTCTTCTCTTTTGTCAGCTTGGCGATGGTCTCATCCAGGGCTGCCATCTCCTCTGTGAGGTTTTTCACCTTTGAGAAGAAGGGAGCAGGTGCAGATAAAAATTTTTCTTTAAACTTTATACTGTATAACAAAACAGAGGTCTTTTCTGTGAGAGTGACATCTTTTGCTTCATACCTTGTTTTCGGTGGCATGTTTTTCCTTCTCAACCTTGGCCAGTGTTAACTCAAGATCGTCAATATCTTTCTTCAGCTCTGAACATTCATCCTCCAGTTTCCTCTTCTTGGCTGTCAGCTCAGCATTAATTTCTTCCTCATCCTCGGCCCTTTCAGTCACTTCTTTAACTTTGGCTTCCAGCTGGATTTTGGTTTTGATGAGCTGGTCACATCTTTCCTCAGCATCAGCCAAGCTATCTGCTTCCTGGTGGGGAGACACAGATTTTCTTTATTTGTTTTCTGAACTTTTCTGTGTAAGCATGTATTAAAATGTGGCCTGTACTTGGCCTCTCCTCAAGCAACTTTAATCTTGCTTTCTTTTTTTTTCCTCTGGAATGCATTATATAGCTTCTTTAGTTGGAAACAATTTTGATTCCTAAACTTTTTTCTCTCTCCTAAAAATGTCTCACACATGTGGTAGGTGTGAGAATTTCTCATTTACCTAGAGGAGAAAGGGCTTGGAGACATTTCTCTTCACAAACACAATATTCAATATCTTTCCTTTTGTAACTGATTCCTTCTGAACCCATTATTATGTTGGGAGCAAAGGCTCTAGTAGTCTCAACAATAATTTAATAGAAAAAATGTTATTCTCTCTCTAAATGTATTAAGACTGCTGGTTGTGCAAGTGGGGTCGTACCCTTGTAAATCAGCTACTTGTGCATCATCCTTCCATACTGTGCCTGAAGTGGCATATGCTGGTTTCAGCTGATCACCACAGCATCTTACTCTTTGGTGGGCTTTTAGTATAATGAATTTGTTTTTTCCCAAATGAATTTGAAAGGCAAATGTCTTATAAGAAAGTCCAATGGGATATTTAATTTTCTCCATATGCTAGGGAAAACAGGTAACACGGGTTTCCTATTTTGTATGGGAATGTTCAAATAACTGGGTAATTAAGTACAGTGTTCCATTTTTAGTTGGTAATTTAAGTAATTTAATGAGTAGAATAAGATGACTTTGTAAGGTGACATTTGAAGATCAAATACTTTTGTGTATATTTTTGAGCAATATTTTATTTTGTGAAGTGTTGTGTGTCTACAAGGTTCATAGGATTGTGGTGGTAAAATTACTAATATTTAAGATTGAGAGGTCTGGCTATGAAGTTATTTTTACTAAAAGAATATTCCTTTCAACTAAAAGGTAACAGTCCATGATTGTTTCCAACTCCCCGCTTCTGAGCTAAGATAATACTGGGTGTGCCACTCCTATAAGCTCCACCAATAGCCATTCTCTCCATATTGTCATGTTATTTACTGTTTGATTCCTTAGAATTGTTGCATTTAGCAAGCTACTTAAGTAGAACATCCCTCCCAAGGATGGATATCTGGTTTTGTTAACATTGAAATGATTGTTTTTCTTCACTGCTTTCTTTTTTTCTGATACAGTATATAGGTTGGTTCTCTGCCATCAATTGGCAGAGAACAGGGGAGCAGAGGGGGAGATGCTGTCCAAATGTTCTCTCACTGTGTTTATAGTTAATGAAGCTTCTGTCTGACCTGTTCTAAATTGTGTCCCCCAGACTGGAGCCCCAACACAAGTACATTACGGAAAGATAGCTTTTAGTGGAAAGGAATGTTCTTTCAATAAAGATAACTTCTTAGCTAGACCTCTCAATCTTAAATATTAATAATTTTACCACCACGGGATGTTGTTTGTAGTGGAACTACCATAGAAAATCCAGATTAGAGACACAAAAAACTACAATGTTCAAAAAAAATGAAAACTTTTGCTTCATTATAAATTTCCTTTATGACCTTGTGTCATACCAGTTAAGTCTAAAGCATACAGAGCTCTTCTGTGCAATTAACAACTAAGGGAAGAAGAAACCCCTCCGGATGGTGTGACTTTTTCTCAGAAACAGGAACTCTGTGTCTATATATTCTTACACTAAGGAGAAATTTGCAGCTATATTTCCCAATTACTGAGTGAATGATTAACCACTAGTTATTAAGCAAAGGGTGGATGGCTTTTCCTGCACGTGAATTCACAAGTACCACTTTCAACTCTGGCTGGCATTTACACTCTAAATTCAATTCATTGTTCTGCATTCTGGTGAGATGGAGATGCACCCTGCAGGACTCACCTGCTCAGAGGGAGTTCGGGGTTCAGGAAAAACTCTGCTCTGAGTATTTCATGTTGGCTAGCTATATCTGCCACCTTCCTCTGAAGGCAAGAGCACTGACTCCCACTTGGAGCTCCCTGCTTCTTTGCACTGGCTGTCAGAGTGCTCACCATGCTACTGCAGACACTTATTTCCTCAACTTCACATACATATGATGGATAATTCAGCAAATATCTGACTTTTGGTCTTCTATAGTCTGACCTTCTGCTTTGTAAAGAACAGTCTGAATGCATGGACTCCTTTTCTGAGTGGGAAATAAATGGTGATAAACTCACAGCCTGCACTTGGAGCTGCAGATCATTTTTCTCCTGCAGCAAGGCCACCATTTTCTCCTCCAGCTCCTTCCTCTTTGCCTCAGACTTTGCAAGCTCTTCCTTGGTTTTCTCAAACTCTTGTTTCATGTTGGCCATCTCCTTCTCAGATTCTGCACTCTTCAGCAAGGGCTTGATCTTGAAGAACAGCTTCATCCAGGGCCAGTGCTTGACGTTCATGAATGCACGAACGTTGTACTGGATGCAGAAGATGGACTCCCTGAAGCATAATTAAAACGTACATTGAATATTTTCAGTATGACGAGTGCCATCACTTTCCCCCTAGTACCGTGACTTTCACTGAAGATGAGGAATGTCTACCTCCTCTCCACCATTCTCTGGTACTCCACTCTCATCAGGAAGCCCCTGCACCTGGCCTGTGTGCGGGTGATGAGCTGTGCCAGCTTCTCATCCCTCATCTCCTCCAGGAGCCCCAGCAGCCCAGCTTTGAAGAACACCTTGAGAAAGGGAACGTTGCCACACATCACTGTCAGGTAGAGCAAAGCACAGGCACACAGTGAGTCAAGGAGGCTTTGTACCTTGGTGTGGCCAAATTTGTACTGGGTGTGGTCCACGTCGATTGACCCAAGAAGCTTCTCAGAAGCCTTCTTGCTATCAATGAACTGTCCCTCTGGGATAGCACTGGCATTAAGCACCTTGTATCTGTGAAAAGAGAAAGGGGAAGATAAGGCTGTTTTTTCGCAACCAACACACGCTAGCTACTGACCACCACCAGCTCATATACAGCTATTTTTGACAACAGAGCCCAGCCTGAATGAACCGGTATGAATGAACCAACATTGCTTTTAAAGATGCTGAGAAGTGCAGTGCTCTTTCTTACCTCTGTTTGAAGTCAGCATAGAGAACTCTGCTGGGGAAACCTTTCCTGCAAATTCTGATGCCTTCTAGCACGCCGTTACACCGCAGCTGGTGAAGTACCAGTTCATGCTCCATGGCACCTAGCAATGCAGAGCACAAATGAACACCAGAGTTCCCAGTGCAGAGGGGGATGGATGTATCAGAGCAAGTTCTCTTTCTGCTTGAGCGTCTTACCAGGTGTTTTTGTTTCATTTGGGATGATGCAACGGACAAAATGGGGGTGAGTGCTCCGTAGATTGGTCATCAGCTTGTTTAAGTTCTCCTAGAGGGACCAGTTAGAAATATGAGTTTCCTATGTCCAGTGTTTGCTGCATCAAGGCCATGGTAATGACTTTACGACTTCTCAAAATTAACTGGGTTTCAGAACACTTAGGTAAAGCCACAGAAACCAAATATTTCTTCTATTTGAAGATATTGAACACCATTTTAAAATACTGAAATACTATTATGTTGCTATTGATCCAGTGGAAACTAAAATAAAATTTCACACTTTCACACAAAGTAATTAACTTTTAGGGTTTTTATGTTCTGCCTTCTAAAGTCAATCTACTTAAGTTAAAAAAAAGTGGGGTTTTTTCAAATAAGACAAATGTCTCCTTGGAGAATGTTTATAAGGAGACTCTCAATTCCCCAACATATCAACCTCACAGAAATGCAGGTTCAGGAATGCTAAAATTAGAGTTCTAGTCTAACCCAAAGACATAAGAAGAAAAAGATCTGAATAATATCCTCTCCAAACAAACAAAAAAAAAGGATTAGGTTTTCATGATCTATGAAGACTGAATTTTTGAACACAACATATTAGCAATATTGAAATTGATCCTGGAAAACCTCATGTGGAATTTCCAAAGAATTTTACCACCGTTACAGCAATACAAAATAGCCCTTTCAAATTTAATAGTAGCTCACCCCCTTTCTTCATATTACAAAAAGATAACAAATGTACTGAACCCGGAAAAGAGCTGAGACAGTCTGGAAAGAAGAACCCTTCTTCTTGCCACCCTTCTTGCCACCACCACCAGACTCTGCAAATG